AATTTTCTGTGCCCAGTCAAAATACGGAAAATCGGCCGCCATCTTGCCCCACGACCGAGTTTAAAGAGGAATGGCTCTAGCGGGTAATGTGACGTCAAATCGAGAACACGGAAGTCTGCATTTCACACATTTTCATTTGTTTGAGAAGGTTGTCGTCGATATTGTCCGAAATATGCCGACTAGGCGTGTTGTATTAGGAATGTATGAAGCGCGATACCCTCTTGCAAATTTCGCACGTTGCTACATCCTCCTAGAACACACTTAGTCGGCATATTTTCCGACAATATCGACTACAACCTTCCCAAACAAGTGAAAATGTGTGAAATGCAGACTTTCGTGTTCTCGAATTTGACGTCACGTTACCCGCCAGAGCCATTCCTCTTTAAACTCGGTCGTGGGGCAAGATGGCGGCCGATTTTTCGAATTTTGACTGGGCACAGAAAATTGAAGACTTCAGCAAATAAAAAGTTTTTACACAGAAATACTCCAAAAAATAAGCTTATTTCGTTAAGCGAAAAAAACTTTGGGGTTGAGGTGCACTTTAAACAAACTTTACACTATCTGAAGGATAATAGTGGTATTGAACTAAATTTACCAGCCGTTTATCTATAACATGTTTTTTCATATTTCCAAAATCATTTGCGAGGGAAATAATTTACACCTCTTATCTCTGGTGGCAAAACTGAAAGAAATGAGGTGTACAAGCGAAAGCACTGAAAGGTTAACATCGCGATTAATAAAAGGTACCTTGAAATGTGAATGTGTACGTGTATTGATCAAATAATATTCCTTCAAAAACAAAGAAATGTTTCATGAAAGGTGCAAAAACTTTGATACCTTTATTTCACTGCAGGCAACTACCATTAGCTCAATCATTGGGATGAACATTCGACTGAAAGATGATGGAAATATTATCTGGAGAGTTTTGCTTCGCCAGTGTGTTTCGACCCACAGGAATTGCCTTGTACCAAACATTTGTTGTTGGCCCGTCTACTGGAGTTAGACAAAAAATTCCCAAGAACTTTGTCACCTTGAGGATGGTGGCCGACATACTCTTCAAAGGCTCGATAAGGATCTCTCTCTCTCTCTCCGCCATCAGTTTTCCATAATTTGTTGTTGTTCTTTCACGCTCATTTCTTGGAGTTTCCATCGTCACCTTGACGGTTCTTTGTTTGACGCTCTTTGTATACGACGCGCTCTTGGTTGACGGTGAAATCTTCTATCTAACGAACATATTGTTCTTTGAATGCTCTCATTCCAGAGGGAGTTACACTGGTCCACCAAACAAGACGGAGAAGTGAGCGGAGATTTTTCAATCCAATTTTAGCTCCTGGGGACCACATTTGCTGTAACACAAATATTAGGGATCCCTAAAAACCCCAATAATGATGGATACACCTTATTCAATGGTTGACAAATAATAAGAGCGAATGTTTTGCAAGTTGCGTACTTAGTATCTTTCTGAGCCCTGCACTAGCAATTAGCTAAATGTCAGCTCGTATTATGTTAAACCATTGAATAAGGGATTACTTTTTTCACTTTGATTTAATTTTTCGGTCTTTTGGTTTCTATTTTATTTAAAAATCGAGTTTCCAGATGGGATTTGAACCCACGACCCTCCGTGATCTAGTCGGATGCTCTAACCACTGAGCTACAGGAGACTCTATGGTGAGCAAGGGTCAATTAGTGGGTATTGACTGGAACCGCATCACGCGGCTACACAGCCAAACATCAGCTAGCGCATAGAAGCTCACTAACAGCATCACGCTGTCACATTAAAGCATCACATGCATTAAAGCATCACATGCAGCCAACCAGCCTCCAAAGTGAGCATGTAAAGATGAAATAAACAATTTTATTTAAAAATCGAGTTTCCAGATGGGATTTCATACCCACTAATTGACCCTTGCTCACCATAGAGTCTCCTGTAGCTCAGTGGTTAGAGCATCCGACTAGATCACGGAGGGTCGTGGGTTCAAATCCCATCTGGAAACTCGATTTTTAAATAAAATTGTTTATTTCATCTTTACATGCTCATTTTGGTTTCTAGTTTGTGAAATATGTCGTTCGGTCTATCCGAGTAAAGTGTCGATCGAATGTGTTCTGCGTGAAAGACAAAAACAGCCCAAGTGAAACAATTGGAGTGTTTCTTTATCACTTACAAAATAACCTCTGATGTACTTAAAGGTCCGATGCTTTAAAATTCAATCCTAAAAAAATTAAATAAAAGCAAAGTTTGGATCTCAGTGGGGTCATTTTGTTGCTTTGCTTTCCTTCCGTAATTTTGCCCCGTTCTACAGTGCAATACCGTGGGATATTTTGCGCGTTCTCATGACATACATACATACATAGGTTAGTTGACCACTCCCCATGGGGGCTTTTCAGGGCCAATTTACACCCATCCCACCCCAGGGGAGAACATCCATGACACAGTAATCTCGTGCGTGGGAAATTAACGTCTCCTACCCCTAACCCTGCAAGAGACGGGGCCTACGGTTTATTCGTCCTTATCCGAGAAGACTAGAATATCCATCCATTTCTTGATTAGAGAAAGGTAGCAATTTCTCCTCACTTATTTTAAGACCATGAATATTGATCCGACCTTATTTGGTATCTGACTGTTATCACTGATTTGAAGATGGACGATGATAGATTGGTCAATTCAAAACACATGGGCTGCCTCTTTTAAACATTGGAATAAGGAATGGTTAGGAAAATCTAGGACGGAATGAATATCCTTAACAGCAATAGTTTCTTAAAATTTTTGACATTAAAAATCAG